AGCTTCGATAATCAACCGAGAGGCTACAGCCCTGAGTTACCGGACATTTTGGGACAATGGATGCGAGTCTACATCAGAGAGGAACAGCGCTACCATTTGGGTCTTGTGATGCCGTTGAATTGAGTTGGATCACGTTTTGGACATCGCTTAATTCATTGAATGTAGCCGGAGGGGTGACCTTATGATTTATGAGTCGATGACATAATCAGATTTGTGATGGGAATTTAGTTCCGTTGAAATAATTAATTATTCAACGTGTTTTGTTAACGCGCACGTAAAATTAATAGAGCGCAAGCGTGAGTTTCGGGGCCCAGTGATAATTCGGGTTTAATAATCATATTACGGGGCCCAATAGGATTTATTGCCGCATAATTGATGGTCGCACTGATACTTGTAATGATTCAGATGATCACTTCTGTTCTGGTGGTGACAGAGTGCGGTTGTTTCGCACGTCTGTCCGATTTTCGTAAGACGCCATTTTGGGAAGCCATGTTGGATTTCGGCGTGCCCTTTGGGTTTTCGAGTTGTTTCGTGCCTGGACTCTAGTGAGCGTGGTGGCTAATTAATTTTGATTTTGTAAGGGCAGGATCTCTGACGTCTTTGGCGTCTCGGGCGCATGTTAAATTGTTTTTCGAGTTACGTCTCGCGAGAGACTTTAGATTGGATTTGTATGATTTTGGTTTTGAGATATCTTGTCTGCCCAACAAATAATTTTCCCGCTGAATCGTGAAATTTCGAATTGTTTGAAACTCTCGTTCGTGTTCGTTCACATTTGCATTTATTTTTGAAAGATTTTCTATTTAAAATGATCCAATATTATAGGGGTCTCGTACCTTGTCGAAATTAATTTATTTTAATTGGGTTACGAACAGACTCTCATTGCTGGGGTTACTTTATTTAAGTTATTGAGATATTTGTGAATACTGTGGAATAAATTCTAATGGATGTTAGTGTTATGTTTGGGGGAAAATTCTGAAACGAACGCTCTTGCTGTCGGTGAATTTTTGAAGGACATTGGATGTTAGGAATTTTAGAGCTCTCGTGACCTTCGATAGTTTACCTAGCTATTGTCTCGATTAAGTCGTTTGCTCGCCAGTTTTACTCGTCACCGAGATATTTCGTTTTCAATCGTTCTTCTGTGCTGTCTTGATTCATATGAATATCTTTGACTATATTTAGATTCTGATTGTTAACTCGAACCAGTCTGTTTTTTTCGAATTTTGGACTTATCGGGACTTTAGGACTTATTTATTTATTTATTTCGTTTATTTATGTCAGAATCTTTCATTTTTATTAACGAATGTGATCTTCTGTAACTAGTTAGTCTATTTATTTATTTGAACGATAGACAATCGAAAAGGGGATTGTGTAATGGATGGATTTATTTTGTATTGAGTTCTCAGAATTTATTAAATATTGTGAATTTCCCGATAATTAATTTGTCTTAATTTACGTAACCTAGTCACATCTTTAGTCTAAGTTCTTTCAGTAACCAAACACGCATCTTTACGTTTTAAGCTAGTGGGAACTGTGTTGGAGCTTAGGACTATTTCGTTTTGTGTCCAGTGGTCGTTCTGGTAAAAACGACCTGGCGCTCAACTTTTATCATTTCAGGGTTGTTTAGGTGTCAGAGGGCTGCGTAATGGACCGGGGGTCCGTGATACCCCGAAAATTACGTCACAATGGATTAGTCTCAGTCAGGATTTTGGTTTAATTATTCTGGGCATTCCGATTCTGATCAATTAGGGTGCAACATTCGATGACATGAAATATTTCCAGATGTCAAATATATTTTGGATTTGACTTTGTGTGATTTTTATTAGGTGTACAAATAAGTTTTAGGACACTTCGATTCCGTGTCATGAAAGTAATTCAAAGTTACCGCTTACATATATGGTGGGGTTTGTTATGTAGTATCAAAACATAAGGGAGTCATAAACATAACCTTCAATTCTGTGAATAAAACATGGAAACCGATAAGCTATTTATTAGACACTGCATTCGCTATGAATTCTATCAAGGAAAAACTATTAGGAAAGCATGTCAATCGATTCGTTCTGTTCTTGGGGACAACATTGTATCTAAAAGTACATGTGAGCTTGGTATAAGCGATTTAAAGAAGGTGATTTCGACGTTAGTGACCGTGAACGTACCGGGGCCCTTGTAAGGGTAGATGACCAGGAACTGCAAGCGTTGCTGCATGAAAACTCTTGCCAGACGGAAAAACAACTTGCAAAACAGCTTAGACTAACTCAACAGACCGGTTCCTATCGCTTTAACGCATGGAAAAGATTCAAAAATGAACAAAGTGGGCGTCACACTTTTTGACTCAAGGAATTAAAGATAGCCGACTTGACATATGTCTGAATCTTTACAATAAGCAACATAGAAAGTCTTTTTTGTGGAAAATTGTGACCGGCGATGAGAAGTGGATTTATTTTGATAATCCAAAACGCAAATATCATTAGGTTAACCCTGGCGAGCCAACGACATCGACACCGAAGCGCAATATTCACTGTAAGAAGATCATGCTGTGTATATGGTGGGATATGAAAAGCGTACTGCATTATGAACTTTTGAAGTCCGGCGAGACAGTTACTGCCAATCGCTATCGTCAACAATTAATAAGATGGAACCAAGAAATTGAACAAAAACGTCCATTTACTGGCAAAGGAAAACGTCCAGTAAAATTGCTCCATGACAACGCCAGGCGCCATGTGGATAAACCGGTCAAAGATATATTAATGGCTCTTGAATGGGAAGTTGCGCCACACCCGGCGTATTCACCAGACTTAGCTCGAACTGATTTTCACTTGTTTCGGAAGATGCAAAACGAATTGACTGATGTGCGATTCAAAACATTTGAAGAAGAGCAAAAATGGGTCGATAATTTCCTCGCCTCGCAAGGTGAAACTTTTTTTGCGGAAGGCATCCGTGAATTACCTACCAGATAGCTGAAGATCATTCAACATGATGGAGATTATTTTGATGAATAAATGTAGTTTACTTTTTTCGAAAATGAATTTTAAATTTTTTGCAAAGTGTCCTAAAACTTATTTGTATTCCTATAAATGATTGGTGTATGAGTCGATTTCTGGATAAATATCTAGCTTAGCTTCCTCACTGGAGTTCGATACCTCTTTATATCTTTTCGTTTTCTAAATTTAAGGTTGTTTAACCTACCAAGTGGACAACTCAGTTGAAAAGAAACATAAAAATGACTAAATAAATCATTCATGTTACAAATTATTTTTCTCATCAAATTAGGAGTGTTATGCCGTACTTTTCCGGTTTCAAAAACAATAATTAAAGAAAATGTTCATGGATAAAGGAGGACTTGTGAATGCAGTGGCAACTGTCGAGTTTGATCGGGCAACATTGCATGCTTCGGCTAGTAGTGGAGTTGCAACAGTGAGATGAATGTTTGTGTGTGTTATACGTGTCCATATACTTCCAGCACTGAATTATCGTCACCGACTTTACCGACTTCGATCAGCTGTTGTGCGGTGTTGTCGCGTTGCTCGACTCGTAATGGCGGTCAAATTTTTATTAGAGGAATTCGAAAATCTATCGAAGATATCACGTCTATATGACCCCTACTTTTTCTCGCCGGCAATAGATTCTCCATAGTCTAAAGTAAATTGCTTGTGGTTTTTTTTCAATATCTTGAGTGTCTGACCCATGCAACATCTCGATCAAAGTTCACACGGTCACGTTTCATCTCTAAGCGTAATGTTACAAGAAGTGATTTTCAGACATTAGTTCCTCACTAGGTTGCCCCGATGGAAGGATTAAGACTATTACTAATGTGCGACTCAAATATGAACTTGGCACATGAGACAATATTAAAATTATGGTGAATAATGCGGGTTTTGACTAAACATCCTTAAACTGTACAACAATTCATAATCATTCCGTAGTCTCCCGAAATTGGTGGGATTCTACACCAGCAACATCCACGTCATAAATCCTGGAATACACTAAGAGCTTCTGAAGTTTGCTTATTATCTCACCACTCAATAAACTATTGTTTAACATTTGAAAATTTAAAAATCATGTCAGATTTAAACCTCACATTCACCCTTGATTCACTGGTCTCTCTATATAATAAGATGTGTGGAATTAAATGTGTGAAACTCGTTTGCGAAAATCTGAAAATGTATACATGGGCAAAATAGACAAACATTGGAATATTGAAATCTTTTGGAATATTACGGGTTTATAATAAATTTCATCGTCGTTAAATAACGTGAGTAACCAAGTAATATTATATTTTTGCCTATTTTATATTCCTTCTCTCTGAATTGATATATTTTGAGTTTCCCAACCTCCAGTTCCGGAGTTGAGTCGAGTGAACATTAGTAGTTAACATTAAAGTTGCTCTACCCTTACGGTAAATTCAAAGATTATTGAAAACTGCAAAAAAATTGCAGAAAACTCGATTAGATTCGGAAATCTAATTTTTTTCTTAATTCAATTATCGCTTTGGTTTTTCAAAGAAGAAATGTTTTAAAATCAGGATTTAACCCAGTGTCTTATGTGAAAATCAACATTTCCATTGTAATCAAAAATTAAAATCTGAATTTTTTTTCACTAGGTGTGAAAAAATCAAGAACTTTTTTGACATCTCATAAAAAATAATCCACCATTATGCAAACAAGTTTTATTATTTATTTATAAGAGGGAAATATTTGAAAAAATATCAATATTTTTCGAAATTCAATTTAGATAACACCGACTGAGTATGAATTTTGTCAAATTTTTTCCATGCAGTTTAGTTGAAAAATATAAAAACTGAAAATATCCCAAAGTACAATGTAGTCCGGCCGAAGGGTATCCAAAAAAATATTTTCTAGAAATTTTACATTGAGTTCTTCTTTTCATAAAAAAAAGGAAGGGGATCAATCATTTTTGGTCGTTGACGTTTTTTTTTACTTCAAACTGATGTGTTTTGCATTTATTTATATACAATATTTACAAATTCAATAGTCAGGGTTTCTTTCAGCATTTAACGTCTCTTTTTTGTTGCTTTATGAAAAATCTAGCTTCATGGCAGTTGACATCTTGTGCAAGATTAGTTATTTAAAAAATTGTACAAGATGTCGATGTAAATTAAAAAACAAATGAAACACCATCCAGAGGTAGGGGCTTTCTTCAATATTTTGATATTTTTTTCTTCATGTTCGTTATGGAAATTCTCCAGCATTGTGAGTCGCTGGAATTCTGGTGATGGAAGTTTCACTCGGTATTTATGGTCTCTTGGTGCATACAGATGCTCAAATACAACTCTCCTGAATTGCTGACGTTCTTATTATCGTCTCGGAGTAACGGGTGGGCCTCTGCAAGCTGTAGAAATTCTGGAAAGGGTCAGAGAATTTTTGTTGAATTACATTCAAGCTTCAAAGAGGATTAGCTGAGTGCACTCGGAGGACTTCAACAGCGTGTTCTCTTTTAATAGGGGAGAAAGAATGACAGATTAAGCTTTGGAGAATCTTTTAATCTTTGAATCATAAGCTGCTATCGGAGATAACCAGAGACGGGAATTCATTTCTATCGCATTGATGTGTATCAGGAAGTATTTTGATCATTTCTGTCGAATATTATATCGGGAATTAGGAGAAAGTAGCTTCGCTCAGCGTTCGTGAAACAGCGCCTCACGCACTGAGTGTCAAAAAGTAAATTAACTTAAACTGTTTGCCCACTTCACTACTGAAATAAGGTTTCTTGGGGGCATATATTTGAGGAAAAAAATTTAAAAAGCATGCAAGTTCCCTATTGTGTTCTATTTGAGTAAAAATGACTGATATTTTTCACTTTTTTCAATTCTTAGCGAAAATTGGCATAAAAACAAATCAAAATTTCACTCATTTCCAGTGCAACAGATTTATGATATTCAGACATTTTTAATGGAAACTCGAAATTTTTCTCTCTGTGCAGACGACTGAAATCGAAATACCGTTTTTATTGCAAAGGGAAATGTACACAAAAAAGATCATCCGAAATTTTCCCCTAAACCATCGATTGCTGGTATATAATTTTTATAACTCCAATAGAAAATGGTTTTCCAGTCTCATGAAAATATCGATTGGCTCGAGTGAACGATTTTTATGTCCGTACGTTTCTCGCTAACCACAAAATCCCCATAACAATGCCAATAAAACGTCGCACGTGACGTGAGATGAGCCAAAAATGAGCCCGAAAAGATGAAATGAACGGAGATAGAAGATATCGCGTGACGAGTTTCGCGATATCACTGATGTACTTACGTTGGGCGATGCCCGGGGATAATCCGGATCCTCGAGAACTTCGTGGGGCATTTCACGTCCCTCCAGGTGGCAGGGTCTTCGCGGCAGAGATCCGTAAACCGAGAGCTTTTTATCTGTAAAGTAGTTTCGTATCCTCTTACTTCGAGTCCTTGAGTACTTTTGATGGGTTACTCTGCGTTCACACGCATGCCCACACTCACGCTGTCACTTCATCCATTCATTTATCATTTTGAAATGATCACTCACGCTTTTGCATTTACAGTATTTCAATTTTTTGGCTGAATAATTTTGGGGCACTTTCTGGAAAGTTTTATCAAATGACGGTTCAACTTAAATTTCAAGGAATTTCGCCATCGAAAATGTTCTGTTATTCCGGGAATATCTTGGCCATTATTTATTCTTCATTTTTTAATTAATTGAAAACTCAGCATAATTAGGTACTGAATATTCATATTTCGATTGAAATTCCATAGAGTTGGAACATACTGGTCGCCCTGCTGTTCAAAAATTTAGAATTCTATTAAATTTTTGTACCTAATAACACAAGAGCTTCAAAATTATCAGGGATCTTCCGATAGGTTAGTTGCAAACAAACTCCTTTGTTTGTTTGTAACGAACTCATGCTTCACCCTCCTGATTTATTAACCTGAAAAACTTAACGAGTTCATTGCAGGGAACCTTGAAAGAAATACCTGATTAATTTTGAAGCTCGGGTGGTATTCGGAAGAGAATTTTTCCATCCAAATTTCGGCCAAGCGAATTGCACTATGAGACAAAATCCATCTGTCAGTTCCCACGAGGGGCTCATTCGACCAGCAAATCTTTTGTTTTTGATATATATTAACATGAAAAATTACCACTTGAATTATCAGTAATAATACCACGAGATCTCTAAAATTATCGGATATTTCCCGATTGTTTTGTTACGTAGCAACGAGAGAGAGAGAGAGAGAGAGAGAGAGAGAGAGAGAGAGAGAAGTTTTGCAAATTAAAATTCCGAGTGCGCAGCACGAGGGATTTTACTGCAAAACTGATCCCGATCATTGATATGCAGGAAAACTTGAGGGAAATATCCGATGAATTTTAAAAGTCGAGGGGTATTCGGAGGACAATTTTGTCAATTCTGATTTTGGCCGATCAGGGTGCAGTGTTCGGGGTTACGGGACGCATTTCACCAAAATATGTGAGAAATATCTGTCAAATTCGTAAAAAACAATTGACAGGTTACAAACCTGCCAATTTTCCCGGCTGCAGGAAAATTATCAGTCTAAACGCGTCACGGTATGCCGAATACTGCACTCTGATTGGTCAAAATCAGAATTGAGGAAATTGTCAGTAATAATACCACGAGATCTCCAAAATTATCGGATATTTCCCTATTGTTTTATTACGTAGCAACGAGAGGGAGACGTTTTGCAGATTAAAATCCCGAGCGCGCAGCACGAGGGATTTTCGTGCAAAACTTATCCCGATCGTTGATACGCAGGAAAACATGAGGGAATTTTCGTTCGATTAATTTTGGAGGTCGAGAGGTAGTCAACGGATTATTTTTGGTAATCGGATCCTTCCCAAACCGACTCATTTTGACTATCTTCATGACTTTCTTTCACTCCAGAGGATAATATTTGACAATTATTTGGTTAGAGAAATAATTGCAGAGCTAGAGCGAAATTCTAATATCAAAAGCTACAGGGAATTTATCAAAAGCTAGGGGGAAATAACCGCTGTAATTTTAATTGGGAAGTACTTCATCTTATTGAATACTGAACTCTGATTGGCCCAGGGAAGGCCAGATCCGATTACCAAAAATAATCAGTTATAATACTCCGAGACCTTCAAAATTATCGGAATATTTCCCGATAGCTTCGTTGCAAACAAACGAAAGTGTCACGTTTGGCAGGCTAAAAATCCCGAGTGCGCAGCACTAGAAATTTTTCTGCAAAACTTGACACTTTTGTTTGTTTGCAGGGAAGGTTGAGGGAAATAATGCAATTAATTTTGAAGGTCGAGGGGTATTCGGCGGAGAATTTTCCGGGACTGGATTTTGGCCAAGCGGAGCGCAGTATTCGAGGGCTTCTTCCAGCAAAACATCCAATTGGTTAGAAATAAATGAAAAGCTACTATGCAATTATCAGATGCAATTTCCAGAAGCTAGTGTGCAATTTCCGAAAAATTTTTTGATAACAAAAGAGTATCGTGTACCTCGAACAGTGCGCTGTAATTGGCTAAAATCCAGTCCCGGAAAATTCTCTTTAGAATTTCCTCGCCTCAAATTTTCTCAGTTTTTTTGTATAACTTTTTCTATAAAAAGAAAAATAGAATGAAAAAAACTTTGAAAATTTTAGCTTGAAAATTCCCATACACTTCTTAAAAACTTTTCATCTGACTAAAGTGATAGTCTCACTAAAATTAAGAAAAAAAATTGTCATCGGTCATTTACAGATTCAGTTCAACTGAGTTATGAAAATTAATAAAAATCAGAAAAATTCAGGTAAAAAGATTTTTGAATTCCAATTTCATAAATTGAAGGATTATCGTCTTCTTTCGTTTTTTCTACGGCTAAAAAATTTGCAATTCCATTCAATTTTCTCTGAAATTTGAAATTTTATGAATTGTTCTCCCCTAAATCAAATTCATCATTCTCCTTGAATTGTTCTCCTACAAATTACTACAAATCGTCCATGAATATTCAATATTTCTCTAACTCTGTAGTAAGAAATGATGTGAATAAACGAGGGTAAATACCAACCGGAAAAATGATTCGTCACATCCGTCGTGGGTATTAAATCAGGATTACCATCCTCCTCATCGTTTTTTCCGAAGGTCGAAATACTCAGCTGTTGGGGTTGTTTTGGCTTGGCCGGCGTTGCTGAGTGTCTCCTCCAGAGAGCCATTAAAACACCAGTTACAATTAATCCCAATCCCGTTGCTGTACCACCCAGGCCAATTAAAATTGGTGACATATTCACGGATGTTACTGATTCACCTATGATCAAGATAAAAACACATTGTAAAAATATCGATAGTTTAAGTTGACTTTTTTGAAGGAAAAATATGGGAAAATGCCATCAAATCATTTTGGAACGAATCTTTTCTGGAGATCTGAACAGGAGACTTTTTTTGTGCGTAATTTTTTGCTTCGGAATGTAAGCATTATAATCGTTCAAATTTAAGTTTTGGATTTTTTTGATTTTTTGTGTGATATCGTCTCATTATGATCCAAAAAGTCCGAAAATGCAAATTTAACTTCACTTGATCGCTAATAAATTAATGGAATTGAATCTTTTTTTTCAAATGTAGGTATTACTGAACCCTATCGATTGCCATTACTCAAAATTTAATTCATCGATTAGTTTTTTTAATTTTTTCCAAAATCAGTTGTACCGCGATAACTAAAAAAAAAGTTCTGAATGGATTGAATAATGGCTTAAAAAATTGGTTTGGATGTCTCTTTGAGTGAGTTCAAAGATGAAGGCGATAGTAATAATCGTTATTTTGATTTATTTCAAAATTTTCAAACATTTGATGGGTTTTCTCATGGGATCAGTTATGTCCGATCGGACTTGGACAATTAAATGTATCTAACACCTTATAAGGGACAAATAAGTTACAAAGGGGTTGAGCTACATAAGTTAGTGATCGGCGATGAACTCATCTGTCCCTCACAATGATCATCCCTACTAGTATTGTTGCGTTTGGAACCTACAGGTTACACGTCAGGTACAACCTATGAGTCAGTAACCTGCAACAAACTCATAGATTCTCAATGCACATTGGTGGCTTCCGACGAAATTTCTACTCGGCTAGTGATATTACTTCCTCCCAGTACCATTCCTACTCGATTGGCAGATGTGGTACTTCACTCAAGGACACAAAATGTACTTGGGACGAGCATTTTTAGAACTCTTTAACAGTGAACTTCCCCCAAGTAGCGGTTTGTATTGGTGAGAAGTAATTTTTTTTGTATATTCATCTTTCAGTCATACCCTGAATCAACGATAACTCTTCCTGATATTCTTGGAAAATACAAAAAGTGGATAAAGAAAGTTACCCATGAGGACCCTCCTTAAACCCCCGAATGACCATGAAAATAGTCTCCATTATTGATCCCCCGAAAAGCGGATCTTTAGCGGTCGTTAATGCAGTGTGAAACGCTGCTTGTTTAGGTTTCGGTATAGTCTGGAAAGGGGTGGAAAACAGAATGCATAATAATAGCTCATAAATTCGAACGGTGTAGCCTTCCGGGTCTGTGGCTCAGCTCTGGTCCATGTTTCAGTTGAAACGGAACAGCTTGGTCAGCCTTACTTCCACTATCTACCGAAGATGATTTTCAGTTTGTGACATCATTCGCATTTAATTATAACTATTTAGCCTGAAATGATAATATCATGGGGATTATTTCAGGTGTCTCCACGTTTATGATGAAATAATGCATTTCTCGTGTCTCCAATAATAGAGCAGCGAAAATGCTTAATTCAAACCCAGGTGGGACTAGCTGTGAGAGGTATCGTCATTTTCCCTTTTATCGAGTGACTCTACCGCGGTTACTGCTGCGGTTTCAGGCTACTGGGCGACTAGCCCCCCTGGACATGGGCAATAATACTATTAACGTACCGGTCTGGCTATGTGTAAGCGCAACACACTGCGCACGGGTGAGTTTATCGCGTTGTCCCATTAACCCGTTCCTCGGATACAGAGGAAATTCGTTGGATAATCCAACCGTATCCACCACGCCCGAATGTTTCAATGAAATAGGAGAAATAGGGGGAATTTAAATGCTGACTGGTGGGTAAATTTTTGGCAACAGTGACGGATTGCTGGAATTGTTTAGGCCTTAGTTGTTGATTACGAAACAGTGGAGGATTCCTCATCCTTTTTTGGGGGATTTATTTTTTATTCTCAATGGTGGAAATTTATTGCTATTGGTATGAGCGAAAATTGATTAAGCAGATGATTATTTGTGGAATGAGTGAGCGCAAATTAGTGTGGAGACACCTCGATTTTTAAGGAGTGAAATTTGGAATATATTTCAGATGGAAGTTACATTGTTAAAAATTCTTGACTGAAATTTTCGGTAATGTTTTTGGAAATTCCTTATCACATTTTAGTCCCACTGAATTTTAAGGAATTTTGTCATTGAAAATTCACAATTTCATGGAAAAAGCAATGAAAATCGCAAAATTCAGTTCAATTATTCCATGAAAATCGGCAGAAATCAGGAAAATTCCAGTAAATATATTCTTAAATTGTCAATTAATTGAAAATTTATTGTCGTTTGACGCTGAATATTCATATTTTCGTTAAAAATTTAAATAAGTCTGAGAATTCTCATCTTAATACTGCTCAAAAATTTGGAATTTCATTTTCAGTAAAATCTGAAATTCAATGATTTTCTCCCCCTTAAATCGTATTCAATACCACTCTCCTGAAAATGTCCATGAAATTTACATTTTTTTTTAAACAATGTAATATTAATACAAAGAGTATTATAAAAAAATTACCTTTTCAAGATTAAGAAGAGATTAAAATCTACAAGGGGTCTCGAAAAATAGGAAACAAGAGGAATATTTTGAAAAAAAAAATTGAAATCGATTGAGTAGTCTTCGAGATATTAGTGAAAAACGATTTAGAAACAAATGGCGATTTCTCAAAAACGACTGGATCGATTGGGTTGAAATTGAGCACAGAGTTAGTCCTCATTGATACTTATAATCTCACAAAATTTCAGATTTTTTGGAATTATTTTAGTTCTTTATTTCCTTAATTTTCTAAAAGTTCACCACCAGGCCCACACGGAAAAATGTATATTTTGAAAAATATATTAAAAAATACCTTAAATTGGCCCAATTTATATAAAAAATATATATAAAATATATTGTTGTGTATCCCCCTTGGAACCCTCATTCAATTGTCGAGTTCCCGAGTATATCAAGGAGTCCCCTTGGCAACGACTGTTTTTTGGATAACTATGGATTCCATTGATTCTCTTTGAAGCTTTTGTGCGAATCATATTTACTCTGTTGTGTAGATAATAAACCGCCCCAACTATTTTATTAACATGTGTTGTCTTCTTGTATCGCTGGATATAACAATACGGTTTTTTTATATATGCTTCATAAATTTGAAAAATATATGGAATTGGGCCAGGTCGACGTCATAGTATATATTTTTTAAATATATTTTTTGATGGGGGTTGGACACCCGCACATGCCCACGGGGTGGTCAAACTTCGGATTTTTACGTTTCAGACCATTCTATATCATTTCTAAGCACAATTAGAGAATCTAAAAATAAACCGATTTTAATGCTTCATTGGGAAGCGAAATGAATGATAATTCTATTTCCACCGACGTCGATGGCCGAGTGGACTACACGGAGAGAAATTTTCTAGAAAAATTCTAGTACGAGTACTGGAAAAAACACAGTCCACCGGCTGTGAAAAATTCTAGTGCTGTTAAAGTAAAATTTCTTGATATTTCTGGTAAAATTTCTGGGGATGTCTGTGAAATTTTCACAGAAATACGGGGAAAAATTCACGTTTTCCCCAAAAAAATTTTTAGTGCCGGCACTGGAATTTTTTCCTGGCTGTCACTTTGCGCCTTCTTTTCCTGTGCTAGCCCTAGAATTTTTCTAAAAAATTTCTCTTCATGTAGACGCAAGTCTAATTTAGTGTGCAGAAGGTTGCGAATTCGATCCTAAGTGAAACCGAATTTTTCAACTTCAGGCTCCGGCGAGCGGGAGATTACTAATGGCGTAACGGCCTGTACCGGCATGGGTTTCCTGTGGTTTCCTATGCTACTCCTGTGTTTTATAGGATTGTAAATGCGGTACAGTATAAAATCCACATTCGCGTGAGAATTATGGTGATCTATAAGAATATTCTTCTGCATATGACCTCGAAGAAACTCCAATAATAATTATTAACATTTGGAATTATTCCAATTTTCTTTACCTGAGAAAATCGCCAATTTGTAAAATCCGGAAGATATCGGAGAACATTTTGTCAAGGTCATATGTAGCATAATAAACAGATTGTTCAATATCACTGTAATTTTTCAGGATAGACTTGGACTCTCTGAAAATGACTGTCCTGGAAAAATTCGTTCTGAAAAAATATTATCTTCTGACGAGAATATCAATCCTTGGCAGGAATAATTTTTTCTCTCAGTGCACCGAGTAACCGAATAAAAATTTCTGTGTGTCATCTATATAGATGAGAATTGGCCGTCAGAATTGAATTGGTCATTTTTTGCATTCCTGACCGAATCGTCAGATTTATGGACCTGGTAATTACCCGTCAAGACCGCGGTAATTGACCGTCATTTGACCGGTCATTTTTGTCACTCGCATCCCTACTATCGCTCGCGCCGCAACCTAACCTGTACTCTAGTGATGTCGAGCAACTACGTGGCCGATCCTATGAGCGGTATTACCGGTTCCGCTCGGCGTCAATAAAATTGTTGATAATTATTGACATGAGTGGAATTTTGAATTCGAATTGGTCTCAAATTACGCGTGAAAGTATCACGAATTGAATAACACAATTTAATATGAGAATTCAGCGTTCAAAACTATCAAAAAACTTAATTAAAAGTCCACTGTAAAGACCTCAAAACTTCGTTACGTGTTTTTTCATATTTAAAGTGGTAAAGAAAGTGAAATTTTCCCGACAATCACATCCTATCATTAAATTCTTCATGATCAGGAACAGAAAGAAATTTTCAAGTTGATGGTTGTGGAGAAAATCGGGTGAACGGTATTACCCGCTGAGCGGTACAGGCACACCTTCCCCTATTAGTACTTGGATGTGTGACCTCTTGGGAACACCTTCCCCCAAAAATTTCGGAAGGTAGGCACGGTGTAGTGGCCTAATGTGCTCCTCTAGTCAGTATAGTGATGCCGTCGAGACTAGCCGAGAATTATTTTAAAGAGATCATCACGGTCTGGCAAAACATCGAATGTTTTGGAATCATCGCAATCTCGAAAGACATTGGATCGGTGCATCTCGTCACAATTTTCAGTTTTTTAAGTTCACGAGACAAGACGAGACAGATATCAAGACAAACATTTGAAAGATAGAAAATACTGAAACTCAGACGTGATGGATTCTTCCAAGTTCGTGACGAGATGCACCGATCCAATGTCTTTCGAAATTACGACGATTCCTAAACTTTCGATGTTTTTTTTAGACCGTGATGATCTTTCCAAAATAATTCTCATCTAGTCTCGACGGCATCACTAAGTCAGTGTGACAGAAGAGCACATTAGGGCTCTACACAATCGGCTGTACGACTGGGGTTTTCCATGGTTTCCCGTGCAGTCCTGGCCCGAATGGGGTATAGTTAAGAGTAAGACGGCCCATGGTAACGCAGATAAAATGTCAGAAGAGGGAAGTGGGGAAAACAAGGCAGACGAATGGGGAGCCTATAAAATGTTAGTAGGAAACAAATATGAATAAAAAAAATACTTTAAGGGTAACGAATATTCTCTCATCTTCCCGAGCATTTCTAAAATTGATTGAAAGTGGACAGAATACGGCCAACCGGACCAGGAGTGCACAATTGGGCCGCTTCTCTAATAACTTGTCAAAATGGTGATTTATTTGTCACGTAAATGTTAACATAAACAAATTCAACAGTCTTCGAAATCAATCAATAGTTCCTTTTGGCATGAGAATTCATTTAATGAAAAATAAACAAAATATGAACAACAATACAGTGAATTGCACAAATAAATGATGAAGTATACATAATCGCGTAAAAAAGAACGATAATCCTGTAAATTGCATCAATAAATGAGAAGATATACATCAGTAAATTGGAAAATTCAATGAATTTATATCAAATTATAATTAAACTATTTACAACAAAATAATATCATACTATACAACACTTCACATTTTCTTTGAACTCAACTCCCAACACTCATAATCACAAAATAGTACATTACGCAACTAGTGCGGAAAGCAGGCGGTTACTCACGAGGGTGGCGCAGCCGCCCGAGTGATACCGCCTGCTGTCCGCACGTGTTGAGTATACTATTTTATATGATAAGTGCGTGATGAAGT